GACTCTCGGAATCAGTCTGCAGCGCGCGGACGCGTCCCGATTCAATTTTTTTTTTTCGCCAATCACGCGCGCAGCGCTGTGGCGTACCCCCCCCCCCCCTTTTCAGTGTCCCTCTCGTCTTTGATGGAGTGGCTTGTTGATTACCGCGCGACGAGGCCCTTGATTTGCTAAGCGGGAAACCCGTCCCGCCGTCGAACCCCTTCCCACTCGCGCTCCACTCGTCCCACTCGCCCCAAATTGGACGATTGTCTTTTCATTATTCATTCCAGTGGAGGGCCGCGGCGTTCTCCTCCACTGTCCGACCAATGGACGCGCGAGGCGCGAGTGCCAGTCAAACCCAATTGCTTTTCCCCACTTTGTCTTTTTTTATTTCATCCTCGCGCGCATTGTTCTCGGAACACGTTTCGCCGATCCCTGACATTTTTATTCTGATCGCCCCGTCGCGCCACTGTCAAGGTCACTTGAATTCCCCCCTTCAAAAAAAGGGGGAGCGTCAGCCATTTTGTTCTCCCGCACGTGGAGCCGAAAAAAAGCACCAACAACAGCGAAACGAAACACACGTCAGTTGAGGGAGAGCGTGGCGCCAGCGCGCTTCCCAAAGCGAGGAAGTCCAAGTGCCCCCAGGTGGCGGCACGGCACGGCGCCGCACGGACGGGGCGACGACTCCGAGCGGCAGGGAGGCAACTTTCAACGACCTGCTCGGGCCGGGCCCTGCAGACAGAGTCTGTCTTCGTCTCTCTCGCACTAACGGGGCGTCCCGTGAAGGAAGAAGAGAGACAGAGCGACGGCCAGCCAGCGCCAGCGCCTAGACTGGTTCCGAGGGTCCGTCTGTTTTCGTCGCTCTGTCTCTCTCGCACTCATGGGGCGTCCCGTGAGGGTGCGAGAGCGACAGCGCGACGAAGACGACTCTCGGAATCAGACTTCTGGCGCGCCGGCTGACTGGTCCAGGGGGGCCGCTGCCGCTACACCGCTAGTCCGGTTGGTTCATCGCCCTCCGCTCCCTGCAGGCACTGCGTCGCCACGGCGCCGGCAGTGACTTAGGTCAGGGCGCGGAGCGAGAAAAGCGGTTCGCGCAACGGCGGCGCGGAAATTGACCGCGAGGATGACGACTCGTTGCCATGACGACGACGTGGCCACCCAGCAAGACTTTTCGTCGCTC